AGTGAAAGCAAAACAGCAACTCCAGAGGTGGAAGAAGAGGTTTACGTTGAACCTGACCCTCCCTGGTCCAAAATAATGGACCGAATCCCGATTAAAATGTATGTACAGTCGTACATTGATGATATCAGTCCATAATATGGACAAGACCTTAAAAGGGAAACGTGGAATTATATTTACGGACGCTAAGTAAACAATTACATCTAGCGTTTTGTAAGTGTGGGAAGTAAGTATTACAGTAAACATTTTTTATGTGGATTAAATAAAACCTCAGCAACCTGAACACGACATCGTTACCGTGGAGCCGTGGAGACATCTTGCAGTGTAAACTCGACCAAACTACAGTACCAAGAAGCAGAATATTTAAACAATAAAAAGTTCCAAAAATCATTAGAAGGAAACAAATTAAGCATGGAACTTGAAACTTCTGATACAGCAATAAAACTAGCGAAAGTAAAAAAAGCAAAAATCTAATGTTAGGGGGGGGGGAGAGAAAGAGGTCGAAGGTGCACCTAACACCCGAAGTCCAACAAAATCAAACTCAAAAATCCGATACAGCGGATGTACACCCGCAGTTTACAGAAGAAAAAAAGTCCATCCCGTGTATGTGACAGTCGCAGAGAATAGGTTAATGAAGTAGATAAATATTTACACTAACAACCGGTATCTGTATTATACTGGGTGCATTGTGTAAACAGATAAAAAAACACACAAAAAACAACAAATTATCTTTAATTTCAACACAATATAAACATTGTAATGATACCGAGAATAATACTTTACGTAGTCTATAGTTCAAAGATATAATCATTAAAAAAGCTAATAAAGAGAATACTATGTTTTAATGTGAAATAAATTTTATAATACAATGGTTATAGAAAATTTAAGTGATAATATTACTTATACGAAACTTCAGGAAAAAAAGATTATGAGATGAACTGTTAAAACCGTTCATTGTAAAAATTAAAAGTTAAGTGAGAGATGATTTAAACTTTATATCAACATTGCCTAGTGAAATTGGTCATAATACCAGTTTAATTACAGAAGATATAGTATCTTTATATAATAATACTGAATACGAATTTGGAGCTGTTAATTCTTTCTTTTGGACGTGGTCCGGAATTTTTGCATTCCGGACTTACTAAGGAATTTTCAATTGAAGATGTAAAATTAGTACTGACTAATAATTATTTTGTATACGTGTATAATAATGATTTCTACCATCAAGTCGGAGAAACCGCCATGGGTACAAAAATGTCACTTACCTGTGCTATTTTTGGAATGAGCTTCTTAGAGAAGAGGATGTATACCGTTGTTGATCAAAAAATGAAGTTACATGTTAGCTCTTATGTGACGTCACATTGACTCAGATACATTGATGGTTGTTGTTGTATTATTTGGACTACGGATTTAAACTGGTTTACTTTTAGTCAAGTTTTAATTGATCTAGATCCAAATATTAAATTCAATGTTGAAAAGGCTTATAAACTATACATTTCTTGGATATATTGAGTGAAATACTTGAAAACGGCTCTTTATAAACAGAATTTTTTTATAAACCGACCAATTCCCATATTTATTTAGATTTTAGAAGTAGCCATTCTAAACACGTCGAAAAATATCCAGTATACGTTAGCAAAGAGAACTCTACCGATTATTAACAACAAAGTAAAAAGAAATATTAGGTTAAATGAAATAAAAATATTTTTATTAAATAGAAATTATTTAAAGGGCCTATTTGTATATTTCGCACAGATATGCCAGTGTGTAGCTTTGTGCTTAATAAAGTTAATTACAAACAAACATTTCTATAATTGTATCTTAAATACCAATGACCTTTGACAAGAATCTTTCTTTTTTGTTTTCCATTTTGGTTTTGTGATCATCAAAAATATATGTTATTTGAAGAAAGTTATTTTATTTAAAAAAATGGAAGTATTTTTGAATTATTTTAAATATTTTGATTTCATGTTATCACTTGTAAGTTGTATAAGAGCCACCACTAATGACCCATTCCTGAGACTTAAATCAAACACAAAACGAATGAAAAACAAAGAATACGATATTTACAAATTAAAAAAAACTATTTAAACTGAATACCATATATAATCAAAATGTTAATACTGAACAATCAAAAACTAATTTATCACATGAAGGATTAAAAAATATAGCCCTAACAGTCACAGTAACACAAAAGCTGGATCAATCTATTGAATAACATCGTGTGTTAACCTTACAACACCTGAGACCGGAATAAATTGTTTTCCTGAACTACTAAGGGGATAAACTTAGTAGAGTCGATTTTGTAACATAATTAGCATTGTAGTTATTTCTATGTAAGCACCATCAAAGCAAAATGCAGAAGAAGAAAACGCGTCTCTATTAACTTCTGACGAAACGGTGAATTTACATATTACATGCTAAATGGTACTTTAAAATATGCGACAGGAGGTAACCCTACTTCCGGTTCTGTCTCTGATCCTTGGCTTCCCTCAGACTCAGGGCTTAGAAATAAAATCATGGATAAACCAGGCGCCCAATTAGAGTTAGCTATGGAAATAAGATTTAGTTATGAAAAAAAAAAACACAAGTAATAAAAACAAAAGTAAAGTAGGTGAGATATTAAAGAGTCTTCTCACTGTCATCCCTATCGAAGATATACTAAACATGAAGAAATAAAATTATAATACACGATTACTTTGTATGTCCATGTATATCCAAGCTTCAAACGCATAATAACAACAATAATTTATAAATATTTACATTATGATTACCATGCAAATATTGCAGTATATTTATATGTGTAATATAAGATATTCCCTTTAGTTTAAATTTTGAACTATTTTAACTATAGTTTTAAATACAACTGGAATTGAGTTAATCTATAATAAAACAATAGCGTAAGCTTAAGTAACAGAAAATTTCAAAACAATATGAATCGTATAATTTTACTTTTGCTACTGGCCATGTGCACAGGCAACGAAGAACTTTGATGCTTTTGATCTTTCATTTTGGATCGAGACTGTCAGGCACCGTCCTGGTTTATGTTAGAAAATCACCCTGAAAGTGTAAGAGAGTCTAAGTAAACACTAGTCTGCAAGACTCTAAATTAATACTACTAGCACACGCACTGATAAGCTTTAAAATCTACTGATGTTGTCCACCTTATCACAGCTGTAAATAGGTACTTTTTATTTGCAGTCTACGTGCAAAAAACAATGGGATTACCTCAAAGTGTACGGGTATGGCATGAACTCTGCTCTAACGGCTGATAGCAAAATGTGTTCTGCTGTGTGCTTATATCCAGATTCCTCGTACAACACCTTGCAGTGTATTGGTTAATGCAGCTACATTTGCCAGGTAACTAAGTCTAAAATTAACTTATATCCGTTATTTGGATGCACGGATGACTACTATTTTTTTGGGTTCAAAATAAAATCTTTACTAAATCCTTTTTAGTATATTTAAGATTCGTGTTATGTGAGGACGTATGTATATGTGTGTGAGTTTAGCTTATTGCAAACCTGTATATATGTATATATATATATATGTATGTGTGTGTGTGTGTGAGTTTAGATGATCGCAAACCTGCATATATGTGTGTGTGTGAGAGAGAGAGAGGGTTTAGCTGATCGCACACCTGTATATATACAGTTATTTTTC